ACTTATCTGACTTCCTAGGTATCTAAAATCAGCCACTTCTTCTAATTTTTCGTCTCCTATCTTTATATTCGCTCTTTCCCTACTTTTTCTTCCCTTGCATATCAGTATTTTAGTTTTACTTTTATTTATTTTCATACAGTACTGATCTGTCAGTACCGCTTCCATTTTATTTAAAACTATCTCTTTCCTTCTTGCTAGATGCTAATACTGCTATATCATCTGCAAATTAAGGATACTAATCTTTTGCCCTTGCACATCTATCCCTACAGTTGTACTGCCTTTAATGATGTTGATGGCGTCTTCGATGTATAGATTAAAAAGTAGCAATGACAGTGTGCATCCCTGCCTGACTCCCTTCCTAATATTTACTTCTCTACGTTGCATCCCCAGCTCTATAACTGCCTGTTGCTCTGTATCACTCTTCTATCTTTGTAATTCATCCCTACATTTTTAAGTATATTTAACATCTTGTCCCATTTAACATTGTCAAAAGCTTTCTCTAAATCTACAAATCCTATGTACGCACTCTTTCCTTTTTGATTATCGATTAAGACATAATTAAGTTATATTTTTCAGACGGTTATTAATTGCTATCATGGAAATTTTATTACAAAACTGACTTTCATGTCATCTACAACAGTACAATGTTGCCTAATAAAAGGGCATCAGCAGTAGCGAGCAGGGCAATTCACTACATACAAAGGCTATTTATTTATGAAATATTGTGAGGCTTACGACACTGTTTAAGCTCGGCTGTTTGGAACTTTTGGCACCACATGTTGGACGGACAAATACACACATTCCCGGTACGTAAACGTATGTGGATAGACGCATTTAAAATAGACTGAAACAGAAGTGTCCGTTCAACTGGCCGTCCACAATTATTAATTAAGTCGGTGGTTGTGGTTGTGGTTCTATTCCAAGGTTGCCGATGACATGCACCCGTGCGCTCAGACAGAATTAAATTCTCCGATGTACATGTCCAGTGATAGTATTATTATAGCATTATTAATATTTCGAACGATGACTTTTGGCAGCCGAAACTACCGCCGAAAAAACATATAGGAAGTTGAAAACGCCATAAATTTACGAAAGTGCTTATTCTTTATAACGATTCCGAACCTTGGCCGACATTGTTTAAGCGCCAATTCGTGAATTATTAGGCTAATAATACCAACTTCATTATGTATCATTTCATTTCGTTAACAGCCTGACAATAACAAACTACTCAGAAGAACTACTGTATCTAACGACGAAACACATGACCAAGATCTGGTAAAAATACTGTGAATCAGCACTATAAATCGTGAATTTCTTTATGATTATAATAAGAAACGTTTAATAAATTACACATATTATGGAATTTGCGAAGTATTCAACTTGTGCGAAAACATTGCTTTCCAATAAAACTTTACTGTTTTGTATACGTAAAAAATATATTCGGAAAATTTGAGGAAAAAATAAACTAAAGAAGAATATACAAACTCAATATTTTGCTGTAAATTATTATATTTTACCAAGTAGGTACATATTATACTTGCTATTAATATTAAAACTCAATTTATTGATTGAATCTATAACAATCATTAAAAGTTTTGATAAAAAAAAACTGAGTTAACTGCAAACTGAAAATCATTTCACTATTTATTTCATGCGGATCACCTTACTTAAAAGTGCTGTTTCAGATGGATATTTATAATTCTAATTTTATAAAAAGACAAGCATTAATCACACGCTTCCCTTCAAGAAAATTTCTTTTTCGACGATATTTATCGACCCAATCCCATATTGTGCGATACTCATCATATTACTGTATTTTAAAAAAAAATCGTAATTGCACTGCATACTATAGGGACTATAGGAAATTCTACCACACAGTCGCCATGTTTTTTAAGCTCCGCCCATTTGACGAATCCCAGTGGTACAAAAGATAATTAAACGCAGAAAGAAAAGCTTGTTATTTACAGCTCTAAACCACAGTCAAGCGCAATAAAAACGCTAACCGCTTTAATTATTGTGTAAATAAGTGGACAATACTTTTCAATTAGCAATTTATTACATTTAATGGCCGTTAATATTAAGCGACGAATGCGAAATAGGAAAAATTTATCTCTTCCAAAGCGGCAGCAGAAGCAAATAAATTTCGCCGTTTATACATATAACTACATAGGAAAATTAACGAGACTATAAAATGAAATAGTTTTTAGTGTGGTTAGGCGACCGAATAATTTATTGACCTGCGAATTGGTGAATAAATACCCCAATGACGTTTTGATTAAATATACGAATCTGTTAAAGTTATGACCATGTACACACGTTACGGACTGTAGACTAGGGATTCTGTGTAAACATTGTCTTAATAAACGTCGAAAACTGAAACTGCTCATAATCATCCTCTCAACATCCAATTTTCCACGCTACTTACGACACACAAACTAGGGTTGCAGCAAGAGTCAGGAATAAGTGCGACGGTCTTGCAAAAAAGTCAGTTTGACAAATGTCTAGATGATGGCCCCCACCCCCGAACGGGGTGGGAGTGGGTGGGATCGAAAGGGGAGTTCTCCCCCACCACTGTACCATAAAAAGTTCGTGGCGGTCTCATCCCATAAAAAGTTATGGGGGTTGGAT